CGATGGGGAGGGGGAGGGGGGAAGGAGCGGGAAGGGGTGGGGGATCCCCTGGTTTGCTGTCTCTGAGTGAGCACCTCTCCACCGGCGTTTTTCCGCAAGCTGGCGTCTTCCCTAGGCAACCTTGCAGAGTGGGACACCAAAGCGGCCAGCTCTCTCTGTCACTCTGCAGAAGGGGAAACAGGACTGAAAGACATCTGGATACTCTGGCATTGCTGGGCATTCCTAGGTCCCACTGGTCATCCTTGGGCAGGCGGGGACTTCTAGGGTGAGTTAGAGACACAGGTGCACTTATTGGCACTCACATGTTCCATCCCTCTTCTCTTTACTCTACTCCTTGGTGGGGAAGCACGGCTCCAGACTCTTCTGGTGCCATATGCTCTCACTGCCCCGCCCCCAGCCGGCCCCCCACACCTTCCGGAGCCCCCTGCTGCTCTCCCACTGTCACTCCTCACCAGGGCTTCAGACCAACTTACTCCTGGCCAGAGCTTTAGCAAGACCTACCCCTGCTCAGTTGCCTTGCACCTGGAATTAGAGAGTCCAAGTTCGACCCTGACTCTGCTATTAAATCCTAGAGCAAAGGAGACAACTCCCTGAGTCCTGTTGCTTCCAGCTCTAAAATGAGAAGCTGTTCTTAACACTTTCCTGAGACTGCAGGGGTATTACACATGAAAGCTCCTTGTGCACTCCTTTTTTAGTCCTTAGCTCCTAACACCTGAGCCCAGGCACCCCAGAGCCATGTCAGATACTAAGAGCAACAATTCTGTGGCTGGCGTTAAGGAAGGTGGGACAGCCAACCAAATCTGGAGCAGAAAGGGTGGCTACCTCCTTCTAGGCTCACACGGAACAATGGGTAGGTATTGTGTGAGCATCCTTGTTAAGGAGAAGAGGGAAAATCCTTTCTGGAATGGGCAAGGCAAAACGATTTTTTTTGTTTTGTTTTGTTTTGTTTTTTAATATAGGGCGCATGCACTCACCAGAGAGACAGAGAGAGACCGAGTCAGAGACAGAAAGTGAGAGAAGTCATCCTCGGGGGTATGGCCATGCCACA